GGAGAATAAGAGGAGGAATGAGAGGAGGAACTGAGGAGGAGGAGGAGGAGGAAGAGGAGCAAAGGAGGAGGAGGGGAGGAGGACGAGGAGGAGGAGGAGGAAGGAGGAGGAGGAGGAGGAGGAGGAAGAGGAGGAGGAGGAGAAGAGAAGAGAGAGAGAGAAGAGGAAGAGGAGGAGGAGGAGAGGAGGAAGGAGGAGAGAGAGGAGGAGGAGAGGAGGAGGAGAGAGAGCAGAGGGGAGGAGGAGGAGGAGGAGGAGAGAGAGGAGGAGGAGAGAGGAGGAGAGGAGAGAGAGAGAGAGGAGGAGAGAGAGGAGGAGGAGAGAGAGGAGGAGGAGGGGAGGAGAGGAGGGAGAGAAGAGGAGGAGGAGGGAGAAAGAGGAGAGAGAGAAGAGGAGGAAGAGGAGGAGGAGGAGGAAAAGAAGAGGGAGGAGGAGAGGAGGAGAGGAGGAGGAGGAGGAGGAGGAGGAGGAGGAGGAGGAGGAGGAGGAGGAGGAGGAGGAAGGAAAAGGGGAAAAACAGGCAACATAGAACAATTCAACAATTTTTGCATTCCTTGGGAGAATAAATCTAGATCTTTCCCTCTTTTAGAATACTAAGAATATGGAATGAAAAAAAATGAAAATCAGTGGAGAACGTAAAACAGTAAAGATAAATAATGAAACCAATACAAAAATATTATCACTGCCCAAGAATTATACAACCATATCTAAATGCAACAAGTACAATTTACATTTCGAGCAACAGATCTTCATATCATACAAACAAACAAAACAAAATAATAATATAAATTGTCAAATTTTCTGATAAATATAGAAGACATCCGTGCAGCCTCTGTGCCGACAGCACTTTAATAAAGCCCAAAAAACCTCGACCATGAAATTTCCGACTGACTTATAGACCTCTTTAGCAATCTATCAACGTTTAAAGAAGCAGTCAAAGCTCCATTTTGTAAAGCACTGTATCAAAAATTTTCACTTGATAACATACCGCTACTGTGTTGGATTTTAGATTTGAAATCATCTGCCATCCATCACAGGAAATCTAAATAAGATTCAGCATGAACTACCTCATATTAACAACAAAGACCCCATTTTAAAAGCTACTGGATTTGTCACCTAAACATTTACAAAACTTCCACTTACTTGGACTTATTCTTAATATAAGAGAGATGAGGAACAAAAGCAATAATTTGATTTAAAAGTAATTCGTGCTGTCCAAACTCTTCAAATATTTTTTTGATATAATACAACCACATTTATCAATCTACATTCATAAGTATGCTCAAGATATCTAACATAATCTCGTTTCTATTTTACCATCCAACAAACTCCTCAAATTCCAAAAAGAAATCCCTAAATAAATTCAAAACATCATAAAAACAATAACACAGGAAGTTGAACTAGAGAAGAAAGTAGAATCGAGTCTTGTCACTTACGTGCCGAGAAATGGGTTTTATCTATCCTTTCTCTTTCTCCGATTTCCAAAATCACGAGATAATATATGTCTCAAAACTGGCTTCAGATGGAGATATGTTTCAAAAGTTGACACGCAGCGAAGGGGTAATAATTTATTCCAAAAGACGAGTCACGAACAACCTTCTCCCAACCGATCAGCGTGTCGACTGAAGACAAAACAATATATCAGGGATGTTGTGTATAGATGTTTATCATTGGTGCAAACGCTCTATTGATAAATAATTAACATAAATCTTTAAAATAATTCCTTAGTTAACGATGAGGTCTACGGAAGCTTCTAAAAGATATTTTTCTTTATCCTAATGAAGTCCCCCTTTTATACCCGGCATCACTAGCAAAATTTATATTGGTACAACTTATCTAAAAAGAAAGACATCAGTATTTGGTACAAATTCTTTATTTATCTTGCTAGAAAAAATACCTTTTAGAATCTGTTATAGATTTTATTTTCCGCTATACAACATAAAACCTTTGTAAAGAAAAAAATACTGTAAACTCTCGTTGCTAAGGACGCGTTGCTAAGGAAACGGAAGATGTATATACAGCCACACCTAAAAACATATAGGTGAAAGGAGATGCATAAAAGGGAATGTAGCATAAGGGGAAACTAGAAGAATGGTATAGACAGGTAAAATAACTTCATGGGTAATCAATAAATAGAAGAACGAAAGAAAAAGCTCTCAAAAAGTAATACGAATGTTATTAATCTAGTTTATTACTCACATTATCCGGCAGTTTAACATTACAAAGCTTCTTAAACCCTACATTTCCATAAAATCATACATCTTCATGAGCGACTGACACACAGCCATTGTTTTGAGCCAAACGGTACCTCATGCAAGATGGAGAAGCTCTGTCTCGGCTGCAAATTATGAACATTTTCTCGGATATCTTTATTTTACCTCCAAATTCAAGGCCGGCTTCAGTATAGGCCATTAAGAAGATCGTCAGTGGCCCTGTCCCCTCCTTCATGAAGTGCCCTTCTAAATTTTTATTAGCTCTTGCCAGAAAATAGATAAATAAATATTAACTAAAAGCCTGTCTTTCTGGACTGACAGCATAACATTTTGTTTTTCATATACCTACTCTCAGAAATTTTCATCATTCCACGATAAGACACCATCTGGAGCAGAGGTCGGCACGCAGAGCACTTGTCTATGGCACATACATGTGATTCAGTGGAGCAAAGGAAAAAGTTGAATAGCAAAATAATAGGAGAGAGAGAGAGAGAGAGAGAGAGAGAGAGAGAGAGAGAGAGAGAGAGAGAGAGAGAGAGAGAGAGAGAGGAGAGAGAGAGAGAGAGAGAGAGAGAGAGAGAGACTCATTATTATGGTCATACCCTCAGCCCTCGAAAATTATAAAATATATGTATCTTTTGTTACAAAGAATACTAAATGCTACACAAATATTACTTATGTATGTTATGCATGTACAGGAAAATACACTTGGGTATACAGTGCTGAAAAACTGGCACGCAAGGTTATAAATAAGAAGGCATTGATTATAAACTGGCACACTATGTTCAAAAGTTTGCCGACCCCTGATCCAGAGAGAGGCGCCCAGCAGGTTACTAAATAAACCTTTAAAAACGAATAAAAAAGAAAAAAGAAAAACTGGATGGGCCTCCTCCCACATGGTCTACAGTTTGGTGTCGTCAACCCGCCACTGTCAGTTTTAAGTTAACATTATGTGGTGAGTCTGCTAGCTGCGTTGCTAGGACAAATCTCAATTTCGCAAATATTAATTCCGCCAATGATTTCAAAATGGCTTGTAGGTAATTCTCTTCACCTTTCTCCTATTTCCGGATCTAGAAAACGCTATTTGCGAGGTGGCCAAGAGGTTTTAGGGAAACATGGCGAGAAAATGTATAAAACTTGAACTTAAAATTACATCGATATAAATCAAAACTATAAAAATAAAACGCCATTGTTTCTCTTAATGATTAGGCTAACTTGAGCGCGTAGTAGCATGTGCCTCACATTTACAACAGTTTTAGGAACTGAACATCTAGAGCAGGGGTGGCCAACCTTTTGTGATATATGATCTACTTTTTCTACAGTTACCCTGGTGCGATCTACCAGTCTACGATTCAAACATATTCCATAAATGTAACTGTGTAACTGTGTGTAACATCTTACTCCCACTCGAGGTATGAAGAGAGAAAGAGAGAGAGAGAGAGAGAGAGAGAGAGAGAGAGAGAGAGAGAGAGAGAGAGAGAGAGAGAGAGAGAGAGAGAGAGAGAGAGAGATAGAGAGGAGAGAGAGAGAGAGAGATTTTTTTGCAGTAACTGTTACACGCTACAATTATATATGTTGTTAAGACTTTGTCATCATTATAAATATAAATATAGTTATTCCAGAAAAAAAAAAGAAATATAATAATCCAGTATCATGAGTACTTCGATATGCTATTATTAGCATTTATTTGCAAGACAGCTTCTGAAGGGCGAATTATTAGCAAGTACAGTAATCGACTTAGAGAACAGGCTTGTGAGACAGTCGTGTCCGTCGACTGTTCCCACAGATCTATCCAGAATGTATTTTCCTTTCTGCCACATAAGTATTACTGAATGCCTATCTCCTTCGACTGATAATAAACAAAATTTGATTTTCATGTGACCGACCTCAAGAAATTCACATTTAGTTTCTCGATAAGACAAATTTCCAGGACGTCTAAAACACTTCAAAACAAGAATTTGAGCAGCCATTTTGTTTTAGTTTCTATTGTCCATTCTACGTGCCAATTTTTTTTCAGAAATAGAGCATCACTAGTAATTACACTATCTAAATATTAAAGCCCTTGTTTACTTATAATTCGGTTTGATCACTTGATAATTATTTCTCATATCTCACCTTGCTAATTAAATTTCCTATCTTTGTATTTATTTTGTTAAATTTCTCCTATACACTTTTATTCACATTTTCCATCGTTAATTTTAGAATTTATATGTATGTAATTTTTACACAGGTTGACATTTATTTGAAAACAACCATGAAGTTTCTATTATATATGTAATTTCGCATATATACAATGTATACATACAATACATACTATACAAACATACACACATGATGCATATAACAATAATACATACGTACATATATACATATCGTATAACATACATACTACACACACATAATGCATATGCATACATAAGTGCATACATACAGTTATATATAACATACGTACATATATACATATCATACAAATGCATGCATACATGAAAGCTCATGTAAATACACAAAGATACACCCTGTGGTTTAAATGTGTATTGAGGCATGGTGAGGGTGTTTGCTTATACAAGAATATTACCTGCATGCAGACTGGGCCACCTCACTACATGGCTTATACCTTATACCTAGTTAATTGGGAAGGTGAGACAAGGTTTGGCAGAAGAGTAGTTCAAAACGGGTATACGAGAAGAAATTCATTCCCGGGCCCACACTTTCTCTTATAGCATTTTGCTGTAGCGATGGATAATAAATAAGGCAGGTGACGAAGCCCCCACATTCTAAACAACACCGACACACACGCACGCACGCGCACACACACACCACACACACACACACACACACACACACACACACACACACACACACACACACACACACACCACCACACACAACACACACACAACACAATCACACAATCCCCCCAAATCCCCCAAATTCTCACAACAATACAATCCACTCGTAGCACCATTCTTACTTGAACTCGCGACCTCTATATTCCGGTCTGCACGAGGAGTTTCATTATCATATTACATAATCGAGAGACAGTTCGGTGCACAGTGCAACTCCCAATGGATGGCGTGGTATCGTACGTGAACCGCAAACACAAACGTTACATGGGGAACACACACCTACCTCCATCCTCCGTTAGTCGTCCAGCCTTGTACTCACCGTTCAGCGATTACGTTCATCCTAGGCCTAGGCACTAGAGAACGATTAGTGTCCTGTATCCGTTGTTTACATTGCGGTGTGTGACGGCGTGCGTGTGTGACCGTTAAAAAAAAAAACGACGACTTCGTGTGTTGGTTCCTTCCATGGAGACGGAGTTTGTCTTGGTTGAAGGTAAAGATTTTGTTTTTATTCTGTGTTCTTGGTCATTTTGAGTGTCTCTGAACGATGTGTTTCTTGGTAGATGAGTTGTGTGTGTATAGTTTTGATGTACGAATTAGGAATACAAGCTATAATTACATCCCTTAGCGAAAATAGCAATGGATATTTTGATGATAAAGTAAAAGCCAACGGGAACTTGCACGTACATTGTTGCACTTGAACAAGCAAAATCTTCTGAAAGTCTCAACATCTCAGGAAGCAGAATAGAAGTTTTATTTACTTTATAGGACTTAACGGAAATATATGAAGATGATGAGAAGAATGACAGTATATCCTAAAATAAGTACATTGTAAAAGAATGGAATACAATAGATGTAACATAATAAAACTCTCGAATAAATTTGACATGCTATCCAACTAAAACACGAGTACAGAATCCATAATTCAGTACAGTAGATAACATTCAACGAAACGAAATTAAAACTAAACCCAAACATAACGGAGAAGCTAAAAAGGGGAAAAGAAAAGAAAAAAGAAATTTCTTGTTGTCACTTCCTTGTCAGTAGCGCATGCGACCTACAAATAGCGAACCAACGTCAAGTGCGCTCTAGTTTCGCCTGCTGATATACATTTTAAAGAGTTTCTGAATTGCTTGTTCTTACTGGACATAGTATTCAGATAACATGATCACCCGAAAACCGATTCTATTTTGTTTTTTTACCCCTTCTAGGATCGTAACGGTTTGTTATGAGAATGGGAGTCGATACTACGGTCTTGTTAGCCAATCATAATCGTATTTTTTGACTCCGCCCACGATGATATCATCAAAACATCCCTGAAAATGAGGTCAGATTAGCATGAAGGTATCGATATAAGACAAAGAGCGATAAGATGACTTTACGGAATCGAATGCTAGAGATAAATACTTGACGCATGGCACAAAGATTGTATTCTAAACGTGGATATATGAAGATCTGCCAATAGCCTTCATCAAGGTGTTACATGACTAATCTTAATATGGATAACTTAAGTCCAGCTTAAAGAATTTTCGCACGTTTTTGTTCACGAAAACGTTAGGTT